AGGGATCACAGAGGGAGGGGCACAGGGGGTGAACACTGACACCAGCATCTGCTTGGATTTCAGTTGCATCTTACAGGAGCTGGCTTCTCTGGGCACACCTGCATCTTAGTGTCACCCTACCCTAGCACCTATGAGGGGTTCACCAGGGCTGGCTCCCCTGAGTGCAAAATGCTCATTGCCACCATGTCTCCATGGGCCTCTCACATTCTGTGCCACAGCTGCTGTTTTTCTCAATTCTTCCCAAAAAGGGTGGCTGGCACAGAAGAGATGGGTGCTGCTGCTAGAAGGCCCAAGGAAGTCAGAGGCTCGTGGTCGCATTAAAGACTGCATTTCAGCAGCACTAAATGACCTTCTCTTTACAGATGTCCCATGTTTTTTCTGTGGCAGACTTGCATCAGCAACTGCCTCCCATTTAGGAACAATTTGCTCATAAAAACACAACAGGGCTCTTCTCACAGGAGAGTGATGGTCCTGATATTATCATCCAACAGCCCAAATGCTGGACCTCCTCTGTGGATTTTCTAGAGATGGAAACATGGGCCGCTCCCAGGGGACTTGGAATGCTACACTCCTTCCTCCCACCACTGCTCAGAATCTGCGATTGAAGCACTCTGGAGTCATATTCACCAGCAGCCTGGAAGATTCATGTCAATCCCCCAGCCTGGCTGTCAGGGAAACCGCACTTTATGAGAAAAACAGCTCCAAGGACACATATCATCAGGCTGCGGCTGAGCTACAAAGCAGGAGTGGGCCTCAAGCATGGCCGGACCATGCCTCCCTGTGCTGCAGAGCTGATGGCTGTGCCTTTGTCTACCTCCCCTCCCCACCCCTTTGGGCAACACCACATCAGTGAAACTTTTTGAATTGCAGACCAAGTTCCAGCAGGAGTTTCAGCTCGCACAGCAGGATAGGAGGCAGCTGGCAATAGCTAGGACAGCCAAGGTCTTTGTTTGCTAGCTATTCCCGTCCCCCAAAGACATGAGGAGCTACTGACCTACTGCCTGTAAACAAAGGCCTTTCAGAGCCAGGAAGCTCCTACCCAGCTGGTGACAAGTAGACCCTACAGTTCCCACTAGCAGGCAGCTACCACCCTTCAGCTCCCTTCTGAGCTCCCGGCTGCCGCAAGATGATGGCTGTCACCTCCTGCAGTCCTACCCCTCCCAAGAACCAAGTCTTGAAACAAGCCTGTACCTTCTCCATCTGACAGGTAGTTGTACCAGAAGACAGCAGTGCCTTGCTGTGGTTTCACACGCAAATTGCCCTTGTCGCAGTTTTTCCGAGTATCTCGCAGGTCAACGTCGTTCTGGATCAAAGACTGGCAAGAAACCACAGAGGAGGTGTCGCAAACAGGGCTGGAGGGAAGCGCACGCACTGGGCTGCCTCTGCTGTCAGCCATCATCCTGCCCTGTGCCTGAACGCCTCATAGGGACAGCTCAAGGCTGATCCTGGGCACGACAGAACTTTCACAACACACCCAGAGCAGCCAGTTTCAGTCCCCTGGAGGTCCATAACCTGCTCCTGAGCAGCTGCCCATTCCTTAACACGTTGCCTGACAGGAGCACAACATACCTGCCAAGACTTAGTCTGAGGAATCTCACCCAGACAGAAACAAGGAGGACCCGTGTTATGGCAGCAAGTCCCACAGACCACCCTTCACACCTCTGAGTGGGGAGAGATGCAGCTGTCAAAGCCCTGCGCCTCCTCCCTTGGCCTCAGAGGAGAAAGACTGTAAGTGGGGCACAGCTTTCCCGTGCTCTAGCTACAAAGGCTAACGTCTGCCAGCTTTACAGACTGGACCCCTTCCACAGCCACAGTGAATAAAAGACATTCAGAGAGGGACTCCAATTCCCCAGGAGTAACATGTAGGCGACATTCATTTACCATCTCTTCGTATGTCCTGTTATCAGCTATAGGAAAGACTGTTTCACCTCCCCCAGTCACATTGTTCAGGTAGAACAGCACTGTCACATACCTGCAAGACAGAGTGGCTGTCAGGGGACACCACTGGAACAGGAGGAGATGCACAAGGGCTGTCTGCACCCTGCTCCTCCACCACTCACACAGCAGTTCCTCCAAGATATCATAAGATAACTGATTTACATCATCAGTTTTTCTCCCAGGCTGAGAGAAGGACAACAAAGAAAACTCCCATCTGCAACAGTGAGGGTATGTTTCTGGCCTCTGGTGGGGATGGCCCAGCAGCTCTACAGAACTATGCTGCTCTCCTTGCGTGGACCCAGAGGATTCACCCACCTCCCCCTCCAAAACCCTTCATGCTGGCCATCTCCAGAGCTGCTTTGGGAGCCCATAACCTGAGCACTGAATCCCACACAAAGCGAGGCGAAACTGCCCTCCACACCATTCCTGTAATGCATTCTGGGTTGTGCCAAGGCAGACCTTACCGGCAGGAGGTCTCAAAGGGAGCACTTTCGTTGGCGACCAGCTTCGTGTGGCTGCAGGCAGTCTCAGGGAAGACGGGGCCACTGTCCATGTGGGCATGGTAGTGCCCTCCTTGGTCGTACCGCACAACCTGGAGGGGCTCGCTGTGCTCCACAATCTCAGGGGGCAAGCGAGTCAGGCGTATTACTCTGGGAAAGAGAAGAGCAGAGTAGGTGAGGGGAACACCCTCACTCCTGTCGGCCAGTACTCCCAAGCAGCGAATAAATCCAGGGAAAGATAACCCCCTGCCCCAACAGACCAGAGAGACAGACGGGCTGCAGCAAGCATGCCAAGAGAAAACTAGGTCCTTACAGATCTGTAGGACCATCAGCATCAGCTCAGAAAGTCCTTGTCAAGGCCAGTAAGAAAATCCAAAACCAAAGGTGCATCTCCAGCAGGACTGCTTTCAGGAAGACTTTGCTTGCTCAGCAAGGTCCTTTCTGTGTGTGTCCCTGGAGCCTTCACGTGTCATTCATCGCTTCTCTGGACTCCTGCACACCACCTACAGACCTCAGGGACAGTTAGCACAGCACAGGGCCCCTGCTGAGAGGGAACGAGAGACTAGCTCTAGGAATATTCTTGTCACCTAACTCACCTTTCCCTGTTGCCCCTTCAGCAGCCTCCCCCCAGGGCAGAGGGGCACTGGGTGTGATCAAGGAGACCGGAGCCCTCCTGCTCTGGGTTTTTTCCGCTGCTACATCTGAGAGCATCCCCAAGGCAAGCAGGTACGTCTCGAGACCTGCCAAAGAACACTCAGAGCTCTGAGAATCTGGATCGATGAAGCCCTCAGGGTGGGTGCAAGGGGAAAGTGGCAGCCAGTCAGGATGGCAAAGCCCCTCCAGGCACCACATGGTCCCAGGGAGGACCAAGAGCCTCCCTCAGCGCTGTCTTCATGTCCTTGTAACAGCGGCCAACTGAAGAGCGTAAAAGTAGCGTGCTGATGCCTGTGTGCGCTGGCTAGCTGGCACGGAGAAGGTGGCAGCCACAGTCTGCTCTAATCAAGGCAATATGTGACCCCATTCTCCCACTGGAATGCACTGAAGAAAAGGAGTGGCCAACAGCCATTTTCAAGCCTCAGGACAGATTTTACCCACCCATGTTCTGGGCAAGGACCAGCATAAGAACAAGAGAATCTCCAGCCAATTATCTGAAACTCACCACGGCTAAACGATTTGGCCTGTGTGCTAGGTTTCAATGCTTCCCAGTACCAAATCTGAAATGAAGGGAAGGGTAAAAGGTTCTCCCATCTGCCATGAGCTGCCTTGCGATACGTGTGCTCAGAGGATTAAACTAAGTTGGCTTACTTGAGGTGAAGTCATGCTTGTTAAAAAGTCAGCTCTAAACAGCTAAGATTTCAGTGAAATGCATGAGTAACTAAAGCAAATGACAGTAACTACTGGCACCCAGACAGCATTGGAAATGGGCAGTTTCTCCCAGTAAGCTCGTTTACTAATTAGAATGAATTATTTCATATAATGCCAAGTCTTCTTGGTTTTATAGGGCTGTTCCCAAAAGTGAATGGAGACGCTGAAAGGTTTGATTTTTCTTTTTCCCTTTTCCATGGGACAATAAAAATTCTTGTTCTAATGAAAACCTCCTCTCCCCACTTCGTGTCTGTGCTCATTGCTCTTTATATTCCAAAGACTTTGGCGCAATTAGGAAGTGTGAATATTAGTAAATTTGTCACTGCGCTTCCCAGCACAGGTGATCCTCGTGCCTGCACTAACCCAATGACCCCTCAGCTGCCTGGCCCTTACCTTTGCCGTATGGCTCTCATGACCTGATGAGCCCCCTCGCCCTGGTACAGCCAGGTGTGCTGGCTGTTGCGCACCAAGTCGCTCATCTTCACTTTCTGGCTTCCCATGTACTTGTGAAAATCACGGATATTCAATCGTTTGAACTCCTCCAAGCTCAGCACACCTGTGAGAAGAAAGGAAAAGCTAGCTGGTGCTGGTGCAGGTAATAGGTCTTGACATCCCATACTCAGAAACCTCCAACTGAGGGCACTGCAGAAATGTTTTTCTCAAACAAACCAGTTTCAGGGTCCACTGCTGTGCCCACCTCGGGCTGTACCCCATACATGAGGGATTACAGACCCCAATAATGCTCTCGCCTGTACAGAGGACATAGAGAAACACGCGAAAGTGAACCATTAGCTGATGTGCAGAGTTGGAACTGGAACAAGCAAAACACCATTTTGAACTTTCAAAAGCTCCTAAAACACAAAATCTGATCAATCAAAAGCGAGAAATAGCCACCGAGCTCTAATGCAGGTAATGCCACAGCTAAAAAGCCTGTGCTACCTGACACCCTGGGGCTTGTTACTCAGATATTTAAATACGCACGTTTAAGGGCAGAGTGGGACACCTCAGACAGGCATTTTCTGTAAGACTTTGCACGATAATTTACAAAAGCCAAACCCAAAACAAGTGGTATGTTCTTCTGTATTTGTGTAATTGCAAAACATGAGCAAGAAATACAACCGAGTAAGATCTTGCGTAAGTAGAAATAACAGAAAAGTGAGAGATAAAAGTAATTTCTGCTAAACCAGGTATTTCTTTTTCACACTTGACTGAATTTGTCTCCCCTTTCTGGAGAAGGGAAGCCCTGCACTGGGGATCAGGTCCCTGGGAGCAGGGCGTGCGGAGTGCTGCAACGTGCTGCCCAGCAGCCAGCCTCGCTGTGGGCTGTGAGCAGAGCTCGCTCAGGCAGCAAATGCAGTGCGGCCGCAGTGCCAGCTCCGCTGCCCGGTCAGCCTGGGACAGCGCCTCAGGTGCCAGCGGTCATGATTAAATTATCCATTATTACTTCTAGTGTCTCCCAGTCCCCACTTCCCCTTGCTCCATGTGGTCTTTGACGACACAGTGCCACATCCAGGTTGTGACCTGGTCTCTCGGTGTCATGTACCAATCCAACAACGGAGGGAAGCTGCTCTCTGGAAGCAAGGTTCTGCCAAAAGCACTTTAACAGGACCTTTCATTTGTTAATGACCGGAACAGTGGAAAAGCCACTGAGGACTCAGTCATATGCTCCTACCCCTGCCAAGAATGCCACCGGCCCGGAGGAACAGGGCATGGGGTGCCCTCAGGATACTTAAGCATTCACACGGGTACTGCTACAACTCCAAAGCAGCTCCTCCTGGGCAGCTCTCAATGCCAGGACAGCATGCAGAGCCCGTGCGTTCACTTAATTTGATTAGGAAATGGAGAGTTGCTTAATTGAGGCCATTCTAATTAGAGCAGCAGAGGTGAGAGTGCATGTTTGGAGCAGTGGGAGCCCTTGGGAGACTGGGGGCAGGAGGGGCAGAAGTGGCCTCATGGAATACAGAGTTTGCAGCAGCAGAGACAGGGTCAGCAACAAAGGCTAACCAAGAGGACCACCCTCACCTCCACTTATTCTGCACTCCCCTGCCAGTGACACAGCCCGCTGCAGAAGTCTCCCTGAAAACAGGGAGGGAATGGAGGGTGCACCTTAACACCTGCAGCCCAGGTAATAAGAGCTGCATAGTCAGAGCCAAACTGGTCTCTCAGACCCTGGGATCTGATCACCCTGAAGGTCCCATTAAGGCGGGGCGTGAACCAAGGCAGGTCTGACAGGGGAGAGGGAGTGCAGAGCTGTTTCCTGGTCCTGCAAGATCCAAGCCCAGGTAGTGGAACTAGCCTGCTGCTATCCTGGTGACGAAGGGGTGGGAGGGCTGCAATGAGATGTTTACACTGATTTTATTTTTCTGCAAAGGTTTCTAAAGCAACGTTATCTTCCTTTGCAGAACATGGCCAGAGAAACAGGCCTGGGCAGGGTTACGGCTCTGTCCCACATGGGTGTGCGAAGTGTCCAGTGTAGGGTGAAGAGACTCCCATGGAGCTGCCCTTACCATTCCCATCAGGATCAGCCTTGACTGCAGTGTACATCTCTCGGATGTTTTCAGGGGTCATCCACCTGCCGTTCCCAAGCCGGGTGTGCGTCAACACCTGAAATTCATAAATGGATCAACACCAGGCACTGTTTTCTTGCACTGCTGAAACCCTACAGACTCCCTGCTTGAGGCCCAGCGGGCTCTCCTCTGCAGCACAGTGACCAGCCCAGCATCAGCACATCTCTGCAGAACCAAGACTGCAGTGAGAATCACCTGGCAGCCACGCACAGCGTGTGGCTGATGAGTACTGCTATTTCCAGTTTAGGTCATAGCAAATGACTGCTGAGACTTGGTTAACCAGTCCTGAGGTTGAGGAGGCTCAGCTCTTTCTCTCGAAGGCCAAGTAAAGCTAATGATGATAGAAGTGAATGCTTTTACTTGTCCAAGGTAAGAGCTTGGAACAAAACATTTCCCTTCCACATGGACAGAGCGATGCTGTATGCTGGAGAGCCCTCAGCAGGCTCTGACCTCCAGCCTTGCCCTGGGTTGTCACTGGTGCAGCTCCCCATACTCCAGTATGCACCCTCATACTTGGGGAACTTGGGGAGGGACATCCTTGAGCTGCCAGCACCTGCCCTGCCACACAGGGCAAGGGTGCTGAAGAGCTGTAGACAAGGTGCTCATCATTCCCCTCCAGGCTTATTAACAGGGGTGGGCTTAGCACAGTCAATTCCCCACAGGCTGCACAGAGCAGTGCCCACGCTACAAACTCACCTCTCCAGGACACCCAGTGAGAGGAGACCCATAGCACAAGGAACATTTTACTCAGTGTACTGAAAAACACACATCTCCTGCCAAGGACCGTTGCTACCTCCCAACAGCACGAAAACTGCTGCACACTTCACCAGAAATTTCCATGCTGAAGGGCAGCACAAGTCTTGCGACATAAAATTAAGCAAATACCAATCAGTATATAGTGGGGTCTGGCCCTACCCAAGCACAGGAGTGATCAAGGGACCATCTGAGAGGGTCCCACAGCAAACCTTCCCCCATCGGTAGTGCACTCTACCTCTTTGAGCTGCAGCTGCCCATCCTGATTGTGGTCCAGCAGATTGAAAATGTCCATCTGGCTGATTTCTATCATTTCCATGGCTTCCTCATAGTCATCCGTTGGGAGGATCTGGCTCTTCTGCAGCCCCTTCAGCTGTGCCAGATGGACGATGAGCTTACACTCCTCCTCTGTCAGGAAGTCAGGAATTTCTGCAGCAAAAGCGTGAGCAGCAACAGAGACTGAGAAACTGTTACGGGGGGGCCCATACTGATGGCAGGCCAGCCAGAAGGGAAACAAAAAATAAAAAAGAGGTGTGTGGGAAATTTAGAAACTGCCTGAGTTTGGGACATTCAAACACATTCACCCTTCTGCTCAAAGAGCTCTCAGAAAGCATACACCACACACCTGAGCTGCTGGAGGCAGGTATTTTTACAGCAGCAGTTCCTAAATGTTTGGATCCAGGGGTCAAGCCCTTAAACTCTCTCACAGACAGCACAATGGACAAAGGAGCGAACAAACTCGTGCATATCACTGTGAATTATCACTTCAAAGGGTGACATGTGGATTGCAGTCTGGGAACTGCTGCTCTACAGGAAGGGGGACCAAAGATCTTTAAGGTGGGCAGAGGTGATGACCAGGGTTTCAGGCTTCCCTGCTCTCACGTGGGCAGGGCAGCACCTTGCACAAAGCCAAACGTCTTCCAGGGGAACCTGGCACAGTGCTCTACTACGAAACTCAGCAAATTCAGAAACTTCCAGACCTCCCATTCATTCCCTTGATCCCCCTCTAAAAATGGTCTTCAAAGGTAATGTTAAAGGAGAAGATGCTGCACATGGCAGATGCCACATTCCATACCCAAGCAGCATCCTGGCATCACCAGCTTTCCTTTGCAGCACGACACCAGCAGCAACCATGTAATACCAGGTTCCCAAGCAAATTTAAATGCAGAGAAACCCACTGATGACTGAGGTGAAGAGATTTCTAGCTGCTTGGTGCAAAGCACTGGTGAGGTCCTGTTCCACAGCGCAGCTACACTGTGGTCTAGAAGGTTGAGAGGATCCTTCTGGTTCATGTCTGCCACTGCTACTGGGATCTCCAGGTGCTGAGACATTTTAAGAGGAAAAAAACCCCAACAAAGCAGGACAGGTTTAAGTGCTCCTGGTCTCAAGGTCCTGCTCTCCAAATTGCAGCTCCCTGGAACTCCTTCAGGTATGTGCCAAGGATGCATTACATCTCCACTACAGCAGCAATCCTCAAAGAGGGAGGGGAAAAAAAAAAGTTAATTACTTGCATGACCTTAAATCAACCCTATCAACTTAAACTGTCAATAAGCAGTTGGCTTCTTGCTAAGTACAGACCAGAACTAGCCCTGTAGAAAATGAGATGTTCCTGGGAAGCCCTAGAAACACAATGCAGCTGGCTGTATCTGTAACATCCTCCGAGGAAACAATTTCCGCCACAGGCAGCGCAGGGTCCTTGTGCCAGAGGACGCTTCAGAGCCGGAGCTTCCACTGACTGGTTTGAACTCCATGGCACAGCACCAGGTCCGAATGATTCGCGTGTGCTGGCAAGCAACGCCCCCAGTATTTCCAGTTCCTCAAACTGGGCTACAATTATGACAGCTTCTGGAATCTTAATTACGTGCTGGAGGAAGGACAATCCTGCTCTTCAGCGGTAGTAACGGGATTTCGTAACGAAGTAAAAATTCTGTTAAGCGGAAAGTGCACTCCATCGTGCAGGTTGCAAGGTGAGGGGCTTTCCAGCCAAGCACTGCCAATCCCATCTGCAAACAACCTGGCTCCACAGCTGCTAATTGGTTCCTCTCTGCCCTCAGCTCTCCGAAATGGTTAACTTCTGGCTGTGAGACCATCCTATCTCCCTGCCTGCTCAACAATAGATCCAGCTAAACAAATGCCTCCTAATTGACTTTGAGCAACACTTGATTGCTTTTACAAAAAACAAAAGAGAGGAAAACATTGGGGTTTATGAAATAATGACTAATCCTGGAGCAAGAGAAAGGGGATGGGCTGGAGCGCTGGTGTCAAACAGAGATTCAATCTTGGCTGAAAGAGCCCCAAGACACATGGGCCAAGTCATTCATCCCTCCCCAACTGCCCTCATTTCCACACCTGCTGATCTAAGCCAACCCCTGCTAAAATCCAAACAATCGGGGCCGCTGGCAAACAAAAATTGGAGCATTGTCTTCCCCATGAGGGCCCTGAAAGGGCCGCACTTAATGAGGATGGATTGACGGAGAGGTGGCTCATAGGCTATAAAAGGCGTCCCACAGTCGGAAGCAGCTCAGTCCAGGGTGTGCCGCCCGCTCCCAGCTCGCTCCGAGCATGGTCATGGCGCACTGCAGGCACTCCTCGAGGTGGGGTGGCCCATGGCTGCCGGGGCTCCTGGTGCGCCTGCTGCTCTGGGGCTCTCCAGGAGCCCAGGCGAGCTACCTGAGGCGATCCTCCAGCTGCACGCCCATTCCGCACCGCATGGCCTTGTGCTACGATATCGGCTACTCCGAGATGAGGATTCCCAACCTGCTGGAGCACGAGACCATGCCAGAAGTCATCCAGCAGTCTTCCAGCTGGCTGCCCTTGCTGGCCAGGGAGTGTCACCCAGACGCTCGGATTTTCCTCTGCTCCCTCTTTGCACCGATCTGCTTGGACAGGTAAGACGTTTTTGCAAGTTATTTCTGCCGTAGCAAGGAACACTCCCCAAGATTGCAACTGTGTTTGCTTCCCAAGAGAAAGCGCGTGCAACACGATCAGCGCAGCCCCCAAGAAATCACGCTGACCCCCTCGGCAAGCGGATTACTCAGCGGGAACCTTCCCCCTGCAAGTGAAGCATGAGCATTTCATCTTGCAGGAGCAGAAACATTATGTTTTTTCCCCCTCTGGATTTCCCTGCTCCCCCACCCCAGGCACCGCTGCCATCGTCCCTGACCACCCCCCTCACACACTGCAGCCGGCACCCACGGCTTCACCTCCCACCTCCCCTGCAGCCCTCTGGTTCCTGCCCCAAACACCTAGGGGGGGTTTCCCAGCCCGACAGTGCCAGCAGCAGAGAAAAATCCTCAGTTTCGAGGTGCAGCCATCAAAGTACAGAGCTGATAAGGAAATTGGGTATCTGATTAGGCGCCTGTAAAGGCAAACAGCCTTCGCACAACTAGAGAAGACCCCTGCAGAGGGAAGGGCATCTGGCAGCGCCTCTGTCGAACAGCTTCATCCCTCCTTCCCTCATAAATGTGTTGCTTGTTTCCTGGGCACAAATGTTCACAAGACATCAAAGACCCCAAAATAGCTCTGCTACCACTCCAGCGTGCAGTACAGCCCCGCACAGCAGCAGCGCGGTACCAGGGCTCGCCCCTCAGCCTGCTGCCAGCAGTCCGGCCGTGCTGCAATCCCCATCCCCTCCCCAGGCTCATCTACCCCTGCCGCAGCCTGTGTGAGACCGTCAAGAGAAGCTGCGCGCCTGTCATGGCTTGTTACGGCTACCCCTGGCCCGAAATCCTGAACTGCAACAAGTTTCCCGCAGATCATGAACTGTGCATCGCAGCAGTCTCCACGGATGAAAATTCCTCAAGCAGGAGAAGTAAGTGTTTGGGATTTTTCTCATATGTTTTCCCATACGTAACACTGAAAGCTCAAATGGATGGGCCTACACCTTGTTTCTATTCCCATAATTTCTGGTTCTAAGATGTATTTAAAAAATAAATAAATTATAAATTCTAGTTTGGTTGTCTTTGGGAACTCCGCTGTGCCTAGAAAATTAGCGTAACACTGACTACAGCTTGTTCCCCTCCTACTGCATTCACTGGCTCCCTGGGTGCCATCAGACCACGCAGCGTTTGGGGCAGGGGAAAGGAATTGCTGTACAAGCGTAACGCCCAGGCACAGCGTGAGAGCTCGGGGTGTGCAGGCTCCAGGCGGCGAGATGTGCTTCCAGCAGAGCTAGGGAGCTGCAGCTCTCATCTTTCAGCTCTGGTCAGGGTTTAAAAAAGTGCAAAATGAAATGTTTTGCAAGTCTCTTGAAACATTAGGAAACACCACAGAGGGGCATGAGCCCCTGCAGACAGGAGTTACACAAGGAAAAAGTATTTAAGACTCAAAGAGTAAATTAAACACCCACATACTGATGAACACTGCGGGAGACTCAAGAGCAGCAAAGGGGAGAACAGACACCTCATTCCAGCAGCGCTGGATGGAGTCTGGCCATACCAGGTGTTTCATCTGATCTAGATCTTCATCGAGCGTTTTCGCTGCTGCTTTAACGTACAGCAACACACACAAGCCCAAACAAAGCACGACCAGCCACAGAAAGGAGAGTTTAACACTTCCCACCCTGGCAGTCCAGCGACTGGGTAGCTCAGGAGGAAGCACCACTTGGAAACAGCAAGCCACCACTCGCAGATCTTAAAATTTCATTATGCTTTTTCCAGTGAAGCTTGACAAGGGTGTTATACAAAATTTCTGTTGCAGCAGTGCCCCGAGCCAGCTGCAAGGACTGCGAGCTTGAGGAGGCCAGCACTGCCAGGGAGATCCTGGAGAATCTCTGCACCAATGATTTTGGTGAGTAGCCTCCTCTTCCTCTCAGTTGCTGCCGTTCCCTCCAGGAGCCAAGTAGTGTCATGGACAGAAAAATGGCTTTGCCGTAACAAAACGACTTGGCGGAACGGCAACGTTTACAGCAGATCCCAGGGATTTTAACTTACCTGTTAGGTAGCAGGAGGACCTAGCTCCATGCAGCACCAAAGGTGAAGCCCTGCTTTATTTCTGTGGGCTTTGATTTGGTTTCAGTCTGCGGCTGCTAAACACAATCACTACCCAGGTTTTCCCTTGGAGATCCACATGTCGATTAATGTGCATAAAAACCTTTAGCAAACTCCACATTAGCTACTTCAAACTTCAGTAACCTTGTTCTAGTAATGTGACTCTCTCTCTCCTGGCCCAAGCAGGTGGCAGCACTGGCTCTGCTCAGTCAGGTGGCAGGAAGTTTTCGGGACACTTTTGTGAATTCAGACACATGATCTTCATTTAAAAAAAAAAAAAAGTTTAAAAATTCAGGCAGCCAGCAGTCATGTCACCTCCTGAAATCCCAGCTCAGAGAGAAGTCAAGTATTTTGTACAAGACCAGGGCTTGGATGCATCCACTTGCTGGTGCTCCTGCTTCCGAGCGGTGCTGATACGCCTTCGCCACTTGCGCACGGGAGGCAGAGTGAGAATGGCGGTCAGTACTGGAATCTAACCTCAGATGAGAACGTTTACAAGTTCATTGCAGTTACAAGAGCCTGGATGGATGCGTCATGTTACAGAAACAGCAAGAAAGCCTTGTGCGGGCTGTGTGTTTAAGCAGGTGAGAGCTACGAGAAGTAAACAGAACTAACAGCTCTTTTTTCCAATTCCCGCAGCAGTGAAAATCCGAATTCTGAGGAAGAACATGACCACCACCATCTCAGACTTTGACCTGGACCCCTCCAGGGTGGAGGTTCTGAAGCACGGCCCGCTCCTCAGAACCGAAATCCCTGCCCGGCTCCAACAGTGGCTGGACATAGATGCTACCTGTGTCCACAACATCATGAGAGGCACTCACGCTGGGGTCTTCATTGTCAGCGGTGAAGTACAGAGCGACAAAGTGGTGGTGAACAAGGCCTACGCCTGGCAGAAGAAGAACAGGAACCTGCACCAGGCGGTGCGGAGGTGGAAACAACACCGCTGCCCTGAGCAGGCTGGCCAGAAGTCTGAAAAATCTCAGTTCCAACAATAAGAAACTGCTCCCTTCCCTACGGCTAGAAAATCCCTTTCCCTGGCAGTCAATGTTTTGGAGATGTACTGTTAATATTTGTAGGTGATGCAGAACAGTCATAGTCCACAGATAGGGCCTCACTACAGATCCCTGTTTTACTGAGACAGAGCTTAAGGGCGGAGATCTAACATACTCCTCTTGCAAGGCTCTGCAGATCCAGGACTTGCGATGGACAGCTCTTGGGTAGGATCCAGCACCACAGCAAAACTGAACTGAGCTCTGCACGCGAGCACAAGCTGGAAGAGATGGTCAATAACGGTTCCTTCTAGTTCTGGCTGGCAGTCATTTCAGCTTCACTATTTGACTCTGAGGCACTGGTACTATCCAAGTGCCTCTTGCTTTCTGTCCAGAGGGATTGCACAAGTCTTCCTGACTGCTAAGTGACCCTTTTTGTGCAATGGAGCAAATGCTCCATGCTACTCTTGAACAGCCCAAGGTGAATCAAGGGGGACAGGAACCCACCCCAGCAATGGCCAGCCCCTTAAAAAATGAACGCTAAATGCTACTCTTGAGCAGTCACTCACTCAGGCTTCAGCTTGCTGAGCTGAGACCTGACGAACACCTGTGCAGGTAAAAGGAAACAGCCGTTCTCGAGCAGAAAAGGCACAGAGCAAAGATAGCTCAGAGTTTCTGCATAACAGGGAAAGCAGCTTTTGAACATCAGAAAGTCAGTTTGGATCAGAAGATTCCGTTCACTGGGGAACTACTGAAAACATCAAGGTGCCACAAGAGCCTCGAGAAAAAGCAGAGCAGACATGGGGCATCAGCGGTTCAAACCTCTGCTTTGGTGTGCGGCAGCAGCTTCGCTTGGGGCTCGGAGGTGAGCCCCAGCCACGGCACAACAGGAGCTACTTGCAGTTCTGACATGGGGCAGGGAGAAATGTTACACAGCTCTTTGGCCTTCCACCTGACCGCAAGGAAGACAGAAAC